TCCCTTGCGAGTGATGCCACTCTTGGTAGGAATGGCCGTAGCGACATACAATAGACCTTCTGTTCTAACTATGCACACCACTTTTCTTAGCTCTGATCTCACCCTTCATAGTGAAAGAGCCAGAGGGCCTATATCCGTTTAGCATGACTAATTCATTGTGAGTCCCTGTTCACAAACACCGTTTTGCTAAATTCACTGAAGGCCCATCTTTCCGGCACCCTAGTCAGGTTTCGCTTCACTCCGTCAGCGGTCGCTCCAATGGACACGTAGCAGAAGGAAAGGAGGAAAGAGACACTAATTTGTCCGTCAGCTAGTCACCGCAAGTCAAGGGCGCCTTCAAACTTTACTACGAACCTGTATGGAAGTTGAGCGCAGGGCGCATCCCAAGAAAACGGGATCGATTAGCGCTGGAAGATTTTATCCTTTATTATGAGCAGACCTCATCAGTAAGGAGGAGACGGTGCAGATGAGGTCTTCAGGCATTAACTGAAGTGCATTTTCATTTGAAAAATACCTTTCAAGTCCACGAGAGGTCCACTGAAAAGCACGTTGGGTCCTTCTTTTCACGTCGATGATACTTCTCTAGATTACAAGTATCCTTTTCAAGGAATTGACGGGAGCTTAAGAATAATCGATTTTGCCCNGAAGCTTTAGCTAAACCGGTGAGCGGAAAGGAATGGCTTGTCGGGGTGAGTATTGATCCAAGGCCCAATCCTCGGTTTGGTTCATACATGTAGCAGCGATGCCACCGAAAGTCGCTTCTCTGTCCCGTAGGAACTTCAATCAATGTGTTATATATACCCGGCAATATTAAAATTAGTGATAAACAATGGTAGAAATAATAAGCAATAGATAACAGTAATCTTTTGGTGTTAAGTTTTCATTTAGCCCACATGGCATGCCTCAAAGTTCCAGTCCAAACCTCAGACTGATTTATTGAAGACGAGTTCCATCTGCTCTCTGCCCAGATCGCCTCCTATCCTGATTCTTCTGCTCTTGACGGAATCATTCACGTCACTTTGACAAATGAGAACGACTTGCTGGCTAACATGCAGATCCGTCCTAAACGTGTTGACCGGCAGGATGCAGGATATTGGCAAAGTGTTTGCAGCTCACTGGCACGTACCTTGCAGTAACAGTTGAGTCGAGATTTTGGAAGATCTGTTCCTGAGAAGAAAGCTCTGGGCCCTTTAACCATGTCAAGTAGGAAACCCAAGTTCGTTTGCTTTCATGAAACCTCTAGTCAAATGACACATCGCCTACTGGAACTGTCGATAGAGTCATCATAGTCAGACTACATTTCTTCAGTCCCACTGCTACTGACCCCATCTAATTTTACCCAACGGAAAAACTTTTTTAGCCCTAGTCAGTAACAAAACTTTTCTATATTTGTAAGTTGACCCCGTGTGTTGGTTTACTCGATATTGCACAGCTTTGCATGGGTGGCCGTAAGAAACACATGGCAGATGTTTGTGTGCGTGAGGCCAACTGTTGTTCGATGACGCTCAAAAACCATGGCTCATACGGCAACTGCTTTGACTGGAGGTTATGGGTTAAAGGGCAAAGATGAATGAGTTACTTCACTTTTTCGTGGGATCGATCAATAAAACCCGTATATATCTTGAGGTCGTAAGAAGTAAGTTGAAGTTCTCACGTCAGAGCACAGCTGGTTGCCATGGAATCCCCTAAGAGTCATTAAATAGTGACTTCATCCGTTAGGAGAATTCCCTGTGAAAGGTGGCACTTATCTGTCATCCGGAAAAAGTACTCAGGTGAAATGTTACCTTGCAAAAAAGTCACTTTCGATAATATTTCCCATCTGGTCGGAGCTTCGCTAATAGCCTCTTTGCCAACTGCTGCTTGGTCGTTTAGTGACCAAAAAGTCTTGGCAAAGATCATTCCTAGAAGAGATATATCTAACCTTCAAACTTCATGCATAGATAGACCTTGATCTTCTCCTCTGACGAGACTCTCACTGGTGGCCAAGGTAAATGTGTAATGTAGTCATAACACATAACAAAATATTCGAAACTGTCACGTTTTCTGTGACGTACGACAATCATCAAAGGCAAACGACGCGATGAGCGAAGCGGGGTGACGCCAGGATTGGTTGGCTGTCTGCACCCTCTTACATATCCACAAACACTAGGTGCACTGTGGCGGTAATTCCTGTTAAAACCACGATTCGCACTTATCAGGGTTTTTATTGCTTTTTGAGGTATCACCACAGAGCAGAGCCCACNACCTGAATCAGGGTTGCCCGAACGATTATCATGGTTATCAGAAATGCAGAAAAAGACGATCAGGTGTAATCACGACTGCCAGGATAATAGATGTAACACAGCAAAAGCAAAGCACCACAGTTTTTGGGACCCATAAACAACCGGCGAGAAAGTGATCTCCAGCTTTGCTTGACACACGAGGAGGCAGCCCGACGATGTCCCCTCGTAGTTTCCACGAATTTTAGTGCTACAACATTGGCAGTACGTGATGAGCGCTGATTTATATTCCGCACGCAATAATGCGTACCAGCTTATAATCCGGATGCCACATATTATCCGATTATTCAAACTATTCGTATTACAGCCATCAAACGTATGCGTTCACTAACACCCAACTATAGCATGGTTATCGTTCAGAAACGAGTTTTTAGATGTTCCCGAATGAATTGGTAGAAGAAGCAGAGCAAGTTGAAATGAGAGCAGTGCGTTCCCGTCACGGTTTATTCCGAATGGGAAAATGGGACTGTTGGAATATTGGCACTGTCAGGGTCAGCGGGAAACCAGCGTCGTTCGTGGGCAGCCCGTCGTTATATCGCCGATCGATCACTCAGGCCAACCGGGCCGTTCACCTTTTTGGTTTCGAAATCACCTGGGAGACAAAAAACACCAACTCGGCCGGCCAACAAATCACTGTAAAGGTGAGTTGGGCTTCCTTCACCAGTATGACTTCAAGAAGAGGTCGATAGCATGGCGCGTATTGAAGCCTCGGCTCTAGATGGCCGGAATTTTGAAGGGCAGCGAAGTAGGAGCCGAGACCTAAAATCGGAACGAAAAACGGGCAGAACCACTTCTCAACGACTAAATTCCGAAGATGAATTGATGACTAGCCACCAGCCACTTGATGCTAGTCAGTCGTGTGCACGCCACGCATCTGACTCACACTCAGAGTCACTTCAATGAACTCGGGGTCTCAACATATGGGCCTACGGATAATCGATAAAGAGAGGATTTTTTCCTGAGACTAGCTAGAAGAGTGCTGGGAGTAGTGCTACCTGGATATGATTTGATCCTATTATAAATGTTATTCGTCCAAGTGCCTTAGGACAGCCGAATTTAATTGTTTATGGCAAAAACTAAACCGTAAATCTACCTTTGCTGGAGTAAAGACGTGTGTTTTAGCCTCCCTTAACTGGTTCGCTTGGATTTTGTCCTACTCAGGAGTGTTTGTCACACCGCATTATCGTGGTGATCCGGCTTCACGTAGCTGACACAGCCGCTCTTCTCGTAATCGCCTCTTACAAAGACAAATCAGATTAGTTTGAAAGCTTTCCTATATATTCAATGTCATGTCTATATTCTATAAAATCTTCCGGAACAACTATATTAAAAAAATCTTCGAGCAGCATGCGAAATACTAAGTGACGTAATCGCCTACTCGTCGCTAAAAATAAAATAAACGTGTTAAGCATTCAGCCCTCATTTTATAATAACATTTCCTGTTTTGCGACCTGTATTTATTATTAACTATTTACCATTTTTTATTTTTGGATTTTTCAAAGTTTTCAAATGCTGGAGAAGGCTTCTTTACATTGACTGATCCTACAATCAGTAAAGATGAGTAGTTTCTTCAACTGCCTTTTTACTGCCTGTGCCCTTTCTCTACTCAGTCCCCCAACCATAAGCGACATTTGTTCTACAATGTGAAGATGAAACACTTGGCANCCCCCCCCCCCCCCCCCCCTTTGGCGTTGTCAATCAATACTCTGCGCTGAAATCGATTCATTCTGGCCTTATGTTAATCGAGCGAGCACGCATAAAAGACCAGATAGGAGAATCATTTATCAATTAAGTTTAATCATTTATCTACTGATTATTGCAAAAAAGGCCATCGTGAAGTAGAAACTCAAGCTGGCTAAACAAACACAGCCACAAACAAAAAAAGAAAATAAAATAAGCCACACTGTATACATCCGACAATGCGGGAACTGGTTCCACATCTGTCAGATAGGTTTTTGTAAAGTTAACAGTCACCTGTGAGTTTGAAAAGCTGAGCAAAATTCAGCCCCTGAAATAACCACGGTAACCCTGATGAGCGGCACCTAATCCTCTGCTAATGCGTTAAGTGCATGCACGATGGTTCTTTCGGTGACTGGAATGCTGCTTTTTTACTTAGTAATCTCCGTTAACAGGTAAGCAGCTCATATTGATCAAAATGGTTCTTACGAGAAACAGTCTTTTTTAACCATTGTTGGGAAATGCAGTTTTGAGTAGTATTCCTCAGATAGGGCAAACTAGTTGGTAAGTGAGGGCAGAGCCACATAGAGAAAGGCCTCCATCAACTTCCTTCTTTGTTTGGGTCCGCTACTTGGGAGCTGCATTTCCTCCCCCACAGTCTTTGGAGAGGTCTCTTTTCACTTTTCATCTTATAACTTGGCCTTAGCTCTCCTTACCTAACCTTACCTTACGCTCTATATCACGCTCCTGAATCCACACAGCCTACCACCGTTCCGCGATTTTGGATTCCATTCTGTTTATTAATTCTTTTGTTTGCTTACAAAAGTGTAACACTCTAGACTAGAATGTTTTTGAACATCTGGAGGAATACAACATGAACAGAAAAGAAAAAGCATAATCAAATTTAAGTAAACCTGCTCTCTGCATAGGACGACCAGCCTTTTGTAGCTTGAGGTGCCATGTTTTTTTGTTGGCTCCTGACTAATTTAGTCGGCTCCTTGCTCTCCATTGACCACCATCTCTCCTAATATGCCTCAGCTTTGAATGAAATAAGTAGCAATTCTTAAAAAAAAAAAANGGAATTGGGAAAGTTTTGTTTCAGTTCCCTCGGGAACCCTGTACGTTGCCCAACATTTCCAACAAGCGGTCCAAGCCTATTTGACCCTTTAATTTGAATTACTACCACAATTCTACTGAGGTAATCAGGCTGTTTTTTTTTTCCAAAACAATCCGTTGACCTTCGTTACGTCTTTACTTGTCGCACTGGCACTTGTGTGTTTCCTTCATAAAGTGGCGCTACTTTTCTGTAAGACTTCTTTACAAACTAGTAACAATTGCTTGACCGGCAGCCAAAGAATGGATACATACATGTCATCTTTTTTTGCGTTATTTACAGCTCCCACTCGATCATCAAGAACGTCTAGCTTCTTTCAAGGTAATCCAGATGGTTGGCGTTTATCATTCCATTAATTCAAACATGCGACTGTCTTACATATGCATATTAAAATAATAATTTATTTAACCCTTAGAATGCATAAATCCATCTAGCAAAATTAATAACTACACTATTGTGCTTTAACATCGACGGTTCACCGGTTACTATTCCGTCAGTACATACGGTATCTTCTTACAACATTCCTGATTCAGGCAAACGATGATGATAGCAAACATGTTCATAGTTATGATTCAAGCCTTCTTCTCCAGTTCAATGAGGTGCTTCACTCCGTCGTACATCTGCTTGACTGCTTCGAATTCTGTCAGACCAAGACGGGCTTTGTTTGAAATGTCATAAACTCCACCTTCAGAATCGGAATGTTCACCGTGAATACCACGAATCTATAAATTGCATCTACATTAAAGTACTGCCAACGTCAGATCACAATGAAGGCTCACCTGGAGCTTGAGGTCATCACAGATCTTCTTGAAGTCGGGCTTAGCAGAGATCTTCGGCAAACGAATGTGTACAGATGCACGGACTGTGGTTCCTAGGTTGGATGGGCAGAAGGTGAGCCAGCCGAGACGATCGTCACGGGAGAATGGAGCCTGAGCCTGGATGATCTTCACTCCCTTGATCAAGCGTTCCAATACCTAAATTGAATAGCCATGTATCGAGATCATAAGGGAACTGTGAAGAAGCTGAACCAGCTCGCCTAAAACCGACCTGGCCAACGTTTCCACCATTCTGCATGGAAATGATGCGAAGGTGATCCTCCTCATTAGCCCAGACGAGGAATGTCTTGTTCTTGTTGTGGAAGATTCCACGTCCCTTGGGCCAGTAGCGGCAAGCATTGGCTGCTTGGAGGAATCTGAACCATTTCGATACAGAAGAAAATAAGCCCAAAAATAGAAGCAAACAGAAGAAAAATAAAATTAAGTCCAATGAAACTTCCAAGGAAAATTCTGAAGAGAAACACATGAGAGAGCCACGACCCACCTGTCACCCTCTTTGAAGAGGAAGTGATCCTTGATGAGTTGGTTCTGGACTTCCTTTGTCATACCATCAAGAGGATAGTAAGTGCCTTGAAGTTCTGGGTCAGAGATGTTCTCGAAGATCTTCTTCACTTTTGCTGAAATTTGTCATTCAAGAGGAGCTGGAGTCAACGTACAGCTCCTATTACATACCTTCCATCTCAAGATAGTTGGCCTCGGTAAGGCAAGGGTTGAATGGATATCCCTGAAGCGAACGGCCACATCTGGAAGTAAAGCATGGATTATGATTACAAATAATATAATCTATGAGTACTTTTTGTTCACTTTCATCACTGCGCGTGTAATGTTGAGGCTAAAACACGAACCTGACACGAGTAGAGTTGATGTATTTTCCCTCGGGATCAAGGTCGACGAGTTGAGCGGTCTTTCCCTCTCCGAGATCAGTGGCTGGTTGCTTCTGGCTGGGGGAGAATCCATTGTGGTAGTCTTGGATCAGGGGATCAAAAAGTGGCTTGAACAGGGTGTAGGCCTCAGCATCAGGAGCATAGACACCAACACCAGAATCCAAGTTGGCAACTCCTAGAAAACCACGTTGAATACCCGATAAACCTGTGTGAGCTTGGTTCCAAACGAGTCAAGAATACCAAATCGAAGGAAAACACAAAAAAAANAAAAAAAAGACTTGGGAATCCAGAACGACTAAGGATGTAATCACAGCTGGGATAAGATGTAAAAACTTTTTAAGCTGAAAGATCGATGGGCTTCTTCAGGTAATTCTCGAAGGTCCCCTATAGCGGAAAAGGCAGCTGTCGTTGAGTACTGGGAATAGCCGTTGCAGTTCAGGGGCGCATCAAATGAGCTCCTTTTCTCGATACAAATTGTTCACCCCAGGGAGTAAGGGAGTAGTAGCGCCGACAGAGTATCAAAGCCGAAAGTATGGCCGAAAGTCAACAAAACAGCTACGCAAAGACTATCTATCTCACACCGGCAGCGATGCACATCAGCGAAACCAAAAGATCAACACACCAGACTGAATGACGTCCCACAGTGTGGCTCCCAACTTGGTTTTCTTGTCCTTGAGTTGGTCGACAACTTCCTTTGTCAGGTATTTCTTCAGCAAAGAGTGGCAGTCTTTTGCATTCTGAAAGCGAGTAAATTAATCGGACAGGAAAACCAGCTGTAAATAACAAATTAGATTGACTGTCTTATAAAGTTGCAGTCTCTATATAACAGTACTTAACTAGTTAATTGACAGAAACTTTCCCACGCCTAGCTATCAGGCACGTTGATGTGAACGTTACGGAGGTTGTAATGTTTGTGCACTGCTAATTGCAGGAAACCTGCACTAAAAAATAAAAGCAGCGCTCAATGGCCAAGGCAGCTACAAGTTAACAATTACTAGAAGGTAATCATTGAAAAGGATGACGAAATGTTAAACTTTGAAAAAGCTACGTTTCCATAAAAAGTAGCATAGCATCGGAAATACTAGTGGAGGCCGTTCCTAGCGATCGATCAACGCAGTGCGTCCAAAGAACAGCGCTTACACGAAGAAACGCCGGCCACGCGTGTAAAAAAACGGCAATTTGCGGACAATTTCAAAAAACGACCCTTCCCAAATAATTGGCGCCCGGCCAATTGCTCACTTTTAGGACATTGGACATGTGCACGCCATTGATACATTATGCATTATAGCTATAATGAATATATCCTCAATGCAAAAGCCTTTTTAGGCCTGTGCCTAGAAGTGCCTGGAAGCTAATGCAGAGCTGAAGCTGTAGCTGTGTCGTAAAAGAACTAGTAAAACAAAATAACAAAACCAAATCAGATGAACTTCGAAAATCCAAATTTCCCCAGTTTCATCTTTGAGGAGATGAACGAAGTGGGAATAAGCCTGAATAAACAGACTGACCTGAAGAGTCTGGTAGCCGTCCTCAATTTTCTTGATGATCTCCGGAGGAACAGACATGTTTGCTTCGCCGATGCCAGCACAGTGAAGTCCGCCGATGGCGTATTGCTCGCGCCACATAAGCCCCGCCCACAGTGAGATTGGTGATTGGTCAAAGCTGGAACGGAAAAGGGGGCGGTGATTTGGACGCTGGGAGTTGCGTCCAGTTCAAATCCTACGCCGCTGATCGCCGACGTGATTGTATGTATGCACTCATTTGACGTGGGAATCGAGCAAAGATCATGAAATGCAGGATGATACGCCATAGATACGGAGGTTCTTAGCAACTCTCAAATTGATTGACAAACATGACGAGGGAAGATATAGCTCTGATCGCCTATCTTCAACGTGCGTATGCACCTCTGTTGACTTTTGACCTGGATCGAAAAAGACTGGCATGCTCGGCGTTTTTTTTTTTGTGCTATCGACCTCGATTAGCATGGGAGCGTAAGTGGATAATAAGCATCGGTTAGAAGAATAGCAAAAAAGAACATCTGCCTGTTTTGAGAAATAGCTGCCATCCTATCCACTGATTTATTCAATATTTTTTAGCTTTTCCCGATGAAGGCTGATTGTTTCTGAACAAATCTTGCCAGCAAGTGGAAGTATCAAACACTTCAGCTTACACTGTAACGCGTAAAACTGATGCTCCTATAGTTCCAGCTGTCAAGATTTTCTTTCACACACTTGGTCCGCAGAAGTGTGTTTTGAAGCATCATGAGCAAAATTATCGGACTCCCGCAAAAAAAGAACTCAGAAGCTTTAGGAAGGCATTTTGAGCAGTTGGTTGAAGGGGTGGAGCTCCCCACCGATGGGCGTGGCCAGCGTTTTTCGCCAGAACAGGCTACATTTGGGCATATTCAGCACGGCTGTCCCTACTAGGTTTTATTAATGTTGTTTGTACGTTCATTTGTAGTTGATGGCATTTTACGGGAACGGAAATCGATACGTTGGAGCATAGCAAGCAGCATGTTAATAATTCACATCTGCTCTGAATAAATAATCACTTAAAAACAAACGCATTGTGGGAACTTTCTTGGCTAAAATGTTCCATTTTGAATTCCAGTCGACCAAATAGTGATCTATTCGAACAGCGTAACAATTTACTCAGGCTGGGGTGGAGTAGTGCCAAAGGAGGCATCTTCATACGTATAGTCGGGGGATTGAATCCCAAACAGTACTCAACATCATCAAGCAGCCTTAATTCTTCTAGGGTTACCTAATTTTCATTAGATCCGTTTGATAAGTCCGTTGAAGCATCGATATGTAATCAGCTGGCTCTCACTATGCTTTGTAAAGGCCGAATACGCATTCAACCGCGCTACGATCTTGACCGGAAGTCGAATGCAAGGGCGCATTCCAGAACAGTACTGATCGCCAATAGAAATCTTTGTGCTCCATCTTGCAGGAAACCGTTTGAATATTAACTAGACTTATATAGTAACCCGTTTTCGTTGACAGGACCTATAATCACTATACTGACGGTTTAAGCTGCAGCATGAAGGGTTATTTTCTTTGTTGACCAGCATTTACACCTGACATCAGATGTCAGTACTACAGATCAAGATTTTTTTGCGGTTGGCCTTCAGTATCTTTGAGTGGACGAAGCGAAGAGATCAGAGTAAACCCTCAAAACCCTTCAATCAGTAACGCCCCCTTGAAATTTTTTACCAGCTCAATGAAGTATTAAGTGAACTTTTCGATTCAAGTTTCCAGGGAAGACGAAGGGCAACCTGGATTATGTTACATCTGTTCGCATTAATATCCCATCAGGAATCCGAGAACTCTGATCTATTGTAACATCCGCGAGCACATCCACATAGCTATGGCAGGGACTCGCTTCTCTCTTGTTGTAACCCCATCCTGTTAGTTTAATTTGCCAGTAGTGCTGTGGTGGTTTCTGAGTACGTGGACGTCTAGTTTTACACTCTTAACTCCATCACGTCTCATCTCGAAGACGCTTTGGGCTTTTGTATAAGGCGTTTACTATGAAAGACCTGTTAGTTATTGGTTGTGATTAGCGTCATCTAAAAATCGATGGTCTGAAGGCCCGATGAAATCGACAAAATCTTCATAGCTAGTGGAAAAGGGTGAACTTCAATATTTAACCTTAATATTGTTATTCTGATTCTGTTCGAAACCTACCATTGTATATTGTTTCAACTATAGCGAAATAAATAAATGAATAAACAAATAAATAAATTTCTACCCCTCCCCACTTATCGGGGCAGACTGAAGACGATTCTCCTAAAAGCCAGAATCACTGCAAGAATCTCACGGGTATCCAATTGGATATCTTAATCCCCGGGAAAACTAGTCATTCAATGATCAGCATTGATCGACCCTCATGAGATAAACCACCGATATGACTTGCACCCGAAGTACCCTTAGCAACAATTGTGTACCTACTTGCGCTCTTTTTTGTTTGTTTTAGATCCACCAGAATAGACCAATTCAATGCTTTGCTGCCCAAAACAAAATAATTCTGAAAATTCATGCAAAAGATGTTTTGCCCGAGAGATTCGGGCGGCTTTGCCCTTGTCTTTTTTCGCGATTTCCATGAATCAATCTCAGCTGAAGAGCATAAATTTTGAGCCCTCTTAAGATCTACAAGAATAGCTATGCATATTCTGTCAGTAATGATACATTGGCAGCTACAATTACCTGTGGCAAATTTCGAGAACAAAGGTTGTTGACGGCTTACATTCACCTAAACCCATAATCATGTTATTTTAGACCCGAAAACTAGCGCGCCAACAATAGATGCGTTTGATTGGCTAACTGCCCCAGCGACCAATCAGAACCGTATCTGACACACTCCTAACCTCTCCCATCTTCGCATCATGCAATCATCTACAGATTTGCCATGCATTCGCTCCCTTTTGAGCCTCCTAGAAGCATTCCAACGGTTAAGTGATCCGAAACACATCCAAGTGACAGATTTTTGAAAAACTGCGAAGGTGTCATTGTTTGCGAAGTCGCAAACGGGTGAGTGAAACGAGTGGAAAAGCATTTACACACGTAAGCTTAGATTTCTCCAGACAACAATGCAGTAAGAGTAGTCAATGTAAAAACAGAGCTTCGCAAAGCTTCCCAACAGATGAATTTTAAGTTCCATATAACATTCAGAATAGTTGAAAAAAGTTCAAAGTTGCATTAAAATTGATCGAACCCCCCGTGGAACGCTCTTTAAAACTTGCCCTTCACGAGACCGCTACTTAGAGGCCTGGAAGGGATTCGATTTTACGGATTAGACTTTTGCCGTTGCTCGAATGTAACCATTCGAGTGAAAACCAATTCACTTCATGGAAAAGTGATTTCCTGAGATAAGCTGATTGCGTGTTGGATTCAAGATTATGCGATAAAATCGTAATCTCCACTGAATTTCTTCTTTCCGGTTGCTATAGAGCTGTGATATCGGCCGTCCGAATGCCTGAAATGCGTAGCTGAGCTGAGTGAGGGGGAAGAAGGAACTTTTCTGTTTGGCTACTCGGCAACTGATTGAGCCTCTTTCAGCTCCCCGTCAAATGTTCTGAGGCTCGATATACTCTCTGAACCAATGCAAACTGAACAAAACAGAGTAAACAAATCTGAGGAAACCATGAAACAATATTTTAATCGACGAGTTTATTCTAGCGGCCTTGCTTCAAAAGCACCTGCGGATTAATTTTGTACAAATTGGCTAACAGCTGTTAGTAGCTGTCTTTCAGGTTACATTTATTGCTACAAAAAGTCCATTACTACATGTACTCTGAAGAGAAGACAGAGAACAAAAAAATTGATGAAACGAAATGGCCAGGATCCAGCTGAGGTTTTCCCTATGAGATAAAGAACACATAAGAAAGGCCTTTCAGAAAGAAAAATCAAATAGATACCTTGCAAACTGCTCCTATAAAGGGGGTCACTAGTTCAAATGGTAAGCCATGGCTTCAAGGAAACCCAGAAATGCGAAAGAATCTGGGAAAACGGTCTCCGTGGCGAAGCTTGCGATTGAAAAGGAATGAGACCAACTGGGGCGTGGAACGTCTAATTCAATTTTAACGTAGCATGAACACCTTGGATTTTTCGGCTTCAATGAAGCACAATGTCCGGTGCCAGAGCTGAGTGTGTGAGTGAACTGGTGAACAATGGATTATTCAGGGTCTGAGTTGAACTGAAGAATCGAGGTCTTCACAAAAGTATGTTTATGATGTCACCAAACTTGTTATGCATCAATTCTGTATTTGGAATAAGCTACACATTATCAAGCCTTTGAAGTCTTCTTTGGAGCCTTTGCCTCCCTCAAGGATCCGCTGTTCAGCAACATAGCGCAGTGCTGATAAGGGAGGTATCCCACTTGTTCTACGACCAATAACAGTCTTTTCGTGATCTGTTACAAGATTGCTTTTACATCAGGGAAAAGGCTGCGATCCTGTCATTACTAGTGTTCCTGCCCATCCTTGCAATATCTACATACTCCCCTGTTTTTAGCTCCCATGCCGCTGAGCAAAAAGTACGGTCGCTTTTGCGAAGCCAAGGGACTGACAAACAAGTACGGCAATCGTAAAACAACCCATGAAAATCTTATCCGGCTTTCTAGACTCTTCAATGCCAACTCCAAATAGTCAGTTGCCTATCAGGCTGTTTTGATTGAAAGGAGTTACACCATTTATTTCCTTCAAAGTGAACGGTTTATAAAGCGGTCTACATATTCGAAACCAGCGTAAAAAACTCTACCAATCCATATACAATTTATATAGTAACTACTGAATTAGTTTCTCTCTTGATCTTCACTTTTTTTACTCTCTGGGCGCTAAGCAGCAATGCACGTTGATCTACAGTCAATGTCATCGATTCCTCGCGATGTCGTTGCAGATTCTGTCTGTCTGCGCTCTCCTTATTTTTCATAGTCTTGTATATTATAGGATTTTTAGGTGCTCCCTCGATTTCGATGAATCGACTGGTTTTTCAAGTTATCGTTGATACCGTTCATAGCAGTAGATGATTCACAGGCCTGTGCAGGCTATGAGGATCATCGGTCA